AACACCAAGTGAAAGGTCAAGAATACCCTTACTAACTTAAGGAAGTGTAAGGGAACAAGGGAACTCCTTACAAAGCTTAAGGTACAACTTTGACTTTGTGGTTGACTAGTCAATTACTAGTCCCCAACTATTGAATTTTCAGGATTTTAGGAATTAATTCACCAACTGAAATAGGATTAATTACTCAATTAGTCCCTTAATTGAATTTGGATTTCGGGGTGTCACAGGTAATGCCTCCAAATTTTTAGGGCGAACACGATGGCGGCTAGCTCTAGGTCGTGTGTGGGGTAGTCTTCTTTGTGGGTTTTGATATGCCTGAATGCATACGCTATTACCTTTCCCTTTTGCATTAGTACGCATCCTAGTCCCTTTATGGAAGCGTCCCTGAAAACATCGAATCCTTCCACACCGGAGGTAAGGGCTAGAACGGGTGCTGTGGTCAGTCTTTCTTTCAATTTCTGAAAAGGCTGAAGTGCAATTGTCGTCTCACCGGAAGGGGGTTTCCTTCTTCATGATTTTGGTGAGGGGTTGGGTTATCTTGGTAAAATTGGGTACGAACCTCCGGTAATAGCCCGCCAACCCTAGGAAGCTCCTGATCTCCGAAAGTGATTTTGGTGTGGGCCATTCCTTGACTGCATGGATTTTGGTTAGATCCACCTTAATCCCCTCTTTGGTTATCACGTGTCCTAGGAATGCGACGTCGTCTTTCCAAAATTCGCACTTGGAGAATTTGGCGTATAGCTGGTTCTCTCTCAAGGTTTGCAACGTTGTGCGGAGGTGCTTTTCATGTTCCTCCTTATCTTGTGAGTAGACCATGATGTCGTCAATGAACACAATGACGAAGTCATCTAAGTAGGGTCGAAATACTCGGTTTATGAGGTCCATGAATATAGCGGGTGCATTGGTGAGTCCGAAGGGCAATACCGTGAATTTGTAGTGGCCGTAGCAGGTTAGAAAGGCTGTTTTCTGAATATCTGGGTCGGCCACTTTTATCTGGTGGTATCCGGATCTTAAGTGAATTTTTGAAAGAGGATACTTGTTCTTTATTGTAACTTGGTTTAGTTCCCTGTAGTCGATGCATAGGCGCATGCTTCCATCCTTCTTTTTGACGAATAATACCGGTGCTCCCCATGGCGAGGTACTGGGGCGTATGTACCCCTTGTCCAGTAAATCCTGGAGTTGTGCCTTTAGTTCCTTCATTTCTTTTGGTGCCAACCTATAGGGGGGTTTCGAGATTGAGGCAGCGCCAGGCACCAAGTCTATGGTGAATTCCACTTCTCTGGTTGGGGGTGCCCCGGGGATTTCGTCTGGAAAGAAATCAGTGAACTCGTTTACCACCGGAATGGTCTTGGTGTGACTGGGGTAGAACCGTTCCCGTAATCGTGCTTTTAGGGCTTCCCAGTTGAACCCTGGTCTTTGTTTATAATTAGGTCCCTCGTGGACCCACTAGAGGTCAGGCTCGTGTTTGAAATATAAGAAGGAGGCTACTTCTATCCGGTGGTCCTCCGGGCACTTTACTATCTCGAATATTTTGTCAAAAGTTCGGACCCACTCTTCGAGAATTATGGGGTTTTCTTCCCCTGATGAGGATACGATATATCTGAATGAATAATAATGACTCTGTACAGGAGTATATATAGTAGTGAATAGTAAATCTATTACAAGACGAATACTAATAATAATAGGTAACGAATACTAATTACTAATAATAATAGGTAACGAATACTAATGATGATAGAGTCCTAATACTCCCCCTCAAGCACAAGGTGGACTAGCAACAACATTGAGCTTGCCACATGGAGTAGAGAAACGCGGACCAGGGAGAGCTTTAGTGAACACATTAGTGAGCTGATCCTTTGTGGAAATGAAGCTAACCTGCAACTCCTTCTTCACCACTTTGTCACGAACAAAGTGGTAATCAATTTCCACATGCTTCGTACGAGCATGGAACACCGGGTTGGAACAGAGATAAGTCGCACCCAAATTATCACACCAGAGAGTGGGAGGAGCAGCCAATGACACTCCAAGCTTGTGCAACAGAGAAACCAACCAGGTGACCTCCGCAGACACATCAGCCAGAGCCTTGTATTCAGCCTCTGTAGACGAACGAGCAACCGTGCGTTGCTTCCGACAAGACCAGGAAATCAGATTGCCACCAAGAAAAACTGCAAAACCACTAGTAGACTTCCTGTCAGCTGGATCACCAGCCCAGTCCGAATCCGAAAAGGCATGAACCGCAACAGAGGAGGAAGGACGAATAAAAAGACCAAAGTGCAGAGTTCCTTTTACATACCGCAGAACACGCTTGAGCATAGCCCAATGCTCAGTGGTTGGAGAGTGCATATGCTGACAGACCCGATTCACGGCAAAAGAGAGATCCGGACGAGTAACAGTAAGATACAGTAGAGCCCCATCAAGACTGCGATACTGCGTGGGATCCGCATAGGGAACCACAGAATCAGAAGAAGGTCGGGACACAGGAACCGGAGTAGCCAACGGTTTACAGTCCACCATACCTGCACGGCTCAAAATATCTTGCATGTATCGCTGCTGAGAAAGAAACAAACCACCATCCTTGGAGACCGTCTCAATGCCAAGAAAAAAAGACGGAGCACCCGTGTCACGAATCTTAAACTCCGAGGCTAAGTCAGTAAGAAGCCGAGTAACACACGAAGCATCAGACCCCATAACAAGGATATCATCAACATAGACAAGCAAATATAAACAAATAGAGGCACGAGTATAGATGAATAAAGAAACATCAGTCTTGGAGGGTGAAAAACCAACCGACACCAAGAAAGCATGCAACCTATTGAACCATGCTCGAGGAGCCTGCTTAAGGCCATAGAGTGACCTCTGTAACAAACACACATCATCCGGCCGTGACTGGTCTTCATAACCGGGCGGCTGTCTCATGTAAACTGTCTTTGCAAGATTAACATTGAGGAAGGCGTTGTGAACATCCAACTGCCGAATGACCCAACCGCGAGAAACGGCTAAAGAGAGAAGAAGCCGCACGGTGGTGGGTTTGACAACAGGACTGAAAGTCTCAAAAAAGTCTTGCCCAGCGACTTGATTGAAACCCTTTGCGACCAATCGAGCCTTGTGCCGCTCAATCGTGCCATCGACCTTGCGCTTCGTTCTGAACACCCATTTGCACCCCACAACATTCATGCCAGGTGTACGACTAACCAGACGCCAAGTGTGATTCTGAAGCAAGGCATTAAACTCAAGATCCATGGCCTCACGCCACTCCGAATACCGAACTGCCTGAGAATAACAAGTCGGTTCAGGAACAGTAATAAGAGCCACATGCTGCGTCGGTCCTTGAGAACGGGTTGCCATGACATGAGACCGAGGCTGAACAGGCTTCGCCGTACGGTGGCCTCGCTTGGGCGCAGTAGGAGCACCCGAGACCGCCCCTTCCGGAGCCGTAGCAGTCACAGTGCGAGAAAGTCAATCAGCTGCGGCAGGTCCAGTGGGACAAACATCGGAGGCAATACCAACCCGAACGGCACCAACACCCCACGGCTCAACCGGGCGAGAGTTAGAGACCTGAGAAGGCATAGAAGAAGCAAACGGATATATAGTCTCATCAAACCGTACATGACGACAAATGAATACCTTGTTAGTAGAACAACGATAGCCACGAAACGAAGACGGATAACCAAGAAACACACACGGGGATGACCGATACTGCAACTTGTTACGATTGTACGGGCGCAACAGAGGATAACAGAGACAGCCAAACACACGCAAGAAGGAATAAGAACGATTAGAATGATGCAAACGATAATGAGGACTGACATTGTCTAGAACTCGAGTAGGCATTTTATTGATGAGATAGACCGCAGTCTCAAAGGCATAATCCCAATATCACAGTGGAACCGAAGCCTGAGCCAAGAGAGCCAGACCCATTTCTACAACGTGATGATGCCGACGCTCAACTCTACCATTCTGCTCATGGGTATAGGCAAAAGATTGCCTATGATTGATACCCAAAGAGACAAAAGTACGGTGCAACCGTATATACTCTCCCCCTAAATCAGATTGTATAGAGACAAACTTACGACCATATGAATGCTCAAAAATAGCATACACATCAGTTTTTAATCGCATAGGATAAAACCATAAATAGCGTGTGTAGTCATCAACAAACAAAACAAAATAACGAAACCATTGATAGAAAGAAAAGGCGCTGGGCCCCAAATATCAGTATAAATAAGCTCTAAAACATGCGACGTAGTAGTATTGACACGAGGCAAGGGAAACCGAGATGATTTCCCAAGCATACAAGCACGACACGACACCGAACTATTACTAAAACTAGAATCAATGGAACACGAATTCAAAATTTGCCGCAAGAGACGAGGATGAGGGTGACCCAACCGACCATGCCAAACGTCAGAGGAGACACGCGAAGCCACTAACGCAGCGGGACTCGAACGAGAAACAGGCCAAGAATAGAGACCCCCCGAAGCCTGCCCTCTATATAGAACTTCCCTGGTTGAACGATCCTTCACAAAGAAACAATCAGGGTGAAATTCAAAGAATATATTATTATCACGGGCAAACCGTTGCACAGATAATAAAGACGCAGAAAGCCCAGGAACAAAAAGAACATCAGACAACCGAAACAGTGTTTTAGAAGAGGCTACCGAAGACGAACCAGTACCAACAATAGGTAAACACTTACCGTCACCAACACGAAGATGATCCGGACCGTTATAAGAGACCGTCGAGGACATCAAAGACGGATCTGGGGCATGGTTCGACGCACCAGTATCGGGAAACCATTGTTGAGTGCTAATCGAAGCCGCATCATCAACAGGATACGCAACATGCGCTCTCGGCACCGGAGCTCCATCGTACCGGCAAAAGCACGAAGCGGCCGAATGGCCCTCGCCGGAGCAGATCTGGCACTGGACAGCCCCAGCACCACCACGACCACGGCCACGCCCTTTGCCGTGACCACGGCCGCGGTTGCCGCCTCCACGCTGTTACCCGCCCGAACGGCCTCCACCTCGCTGAGCGGCCATGGCGACCGGAGCAGCAGCAACATCACCAGCATCATCGGCACATATAAAAGCCTGCGAAACAAGAAAATCGGATAGCTCGGGCAGAGACACCGGAGCACCCCTTGTGAGCGACGCCACCAAAGGACGATATTCGGACCGCAAGCCTCGGAATATATACATATTCTGATCCTCTAGCGTCACCGGACGGTCGGCAAGCGCTAAATCCTCGATAAGCACCTGCGCACGGCCAATATAGTCCGGGATCGAAGCATCCCCCTGCCGTAATCCTTGCAACTCGCCCACCAACCGGAGGGCACGAGCCCGTGTAGTCGAACCAAGAACCTGTTCGATTGCCAACCACAAATGCCGAGAAGTGGACTTACCGATTGCGAGGTGCATCATCTCGTCGGACAAGGATGAGATTAATAAGGAGAGCACGACCTTATCTTGACGGAGCCATGCACTCCGAGCAGCGGAAGATGAAGCCGACGAAGGCACGGCAGGAACAGCTCCCTCGGAAGGCGGCACGGCAAGCGCGGTGATCGGCGGACATACCGAAGTACCATCGACAAAACCCAACAACCCTTGGCCATCCAAGAACGGAAGAAGCTGAGTATGCCAAAACAAAAAATTGCGGGATGTCAACTTGATGGAGACGAAGTGATGCGCCGAAGAGAAAGACAACCCCCGACTGCAGCGGTGCAACAAGCGCGGCCTCGGAAACGGTCCGTTCAGAACTACCAACAGAGCCGTCATCAGATCCAAGGTGCGCCATTAGAGAGAGTAGAGAGAAACCTGCTGATACCAGATGAGGATACGATATATCTGAATGATTAATAATGAGTCTGTATAGGAGTATATATAGTAGTGAATAGTAAACCTATTACAAGACGAATACTAATAATAGGTAACGAATACTAATTACTAATAATAATAGGTAACGGATACTAATGATGATAGAGTCCTAATACCCCTGAGAAGGTAGGCGGCCGATGTTCTGAGATTTGGTGGTTAACTTCTGAGTTTCTACTTAGTGGTGGTGGTTGGAGGATCGTGTTGCTCAATGTTTGAGCAACTTGGGCCAGATGCTGCAGATTTTGAATCAACGATTCCTTTGTGGAGAGTCCCGGTGCCTTTGCTTGTTTCCTTGTTGGTGCCATCCTGGTGGTTTACAGGCCGATATTATTTTTAAGTTGCATCCTTACCTTGATGTTATAAGTGTAGGGGGGAGTTCTTTAAATTAAGTGCAGAATAGAGTGAGGGGAAGGTTATGTGGGCTCACAATCTCACCGCTCGTCCTAAGATTCCTGAATCCTATGTTCCCAAACACCTAGAGTTCAAGCCTAGTGTCTTAGAGTCTAGTCTTAAGAGTCTTCTTCTAGAGTCAAACTTAGGCTCGGATACCATCTATAACACCCCGAAATTTTTAAAACTTTTTAATCTTATAATATGAAAGCAATTCTATTAATCAAACCCAAATAGAGCATTCTAAACATAAGGGTCTACAACGTCATTACATCATCAAGGCACGTAGGCCGAAAGGAAAGACTAACTATCTAAGCTGAGGTCCTCTAGCGCGCTCCGGTAGCTAATCATCTGTGCCTGAAAGCCAAATATATCTGTTCAGCGAATAATGCTGGTAACCCACTCCAACGCGTTAAAATACGATATAGGTATATATATATATATATATATGTATATGTATATATATATATATATATATATATATGTATATGTATATATATATATACATATACATATATATATATATATATATATATATATATATATATATATATATATATATATATATATATATATACATATACATACATATATATATATATATATATATATATATATATATATATATATATATATTGTTGGTCCCGATAGGGTGGTGAAAGTCCAGGGGGGGGGGGGGGTGAATAGACTTTCAAGCTTTTTCACAATTAATAACTCTTTGGTAACTTCAACTCTAAGTAACAGGTAAATAGAGTAAACTTGAACTGCACAGCGGAATAAATAAGTGTAAAGAGTTATGCCCAATTAATAATTTAAATCACATGCACACGTATGATAAGCTCAGATAAGGTGTGAGAATGAATATCTTGAATATTTAAAGGAGATGGTTCACTCAATATTCAACAATAGTATTCAAGACTATAAAATAAGATATCGTATCACGTCGACCGTATGACGAGCGTCACATGCAATACGTCAAACTTTCTTAGAATAATTCAATATTTAAGCCTGGAAAGTTTGAGTTACATGCATACGTGAAAACGCGCTAAACCCGAAAGGTTAAGATTAACTGTGAATAGTAAAGAGGTTAGTCGGATAAGATAGATAGATAGAGCGAATTATGTAAGTGCGGTATGTAAATGAGATAGGCAATTTATAGCGGTTCGGAAGTGGCGTAATCTTCCTAGTCCAATTTACTCCATTCACTTCTTGGAGTAATTCACTATTTTCCACACACAGTTACAATAGTGAATAAGCGCTACACAAGCACCTCTTCCGGATGTCTTGCACACAGCTACACCCAACTTCGAGTGTGTCGCACACAGCTACACTCAACTCCGAGTATTTCGTACACAGCTATACTCAACGCCAACTAAGTGTTTTGCACACAGCTACACTTAGCAACTACGAGTGTTTTGCACACAGCTACACTCACTAGAGTATTTTGCACACAACTATACTCTTTTTACAATTACAAATACAAAGGTAATTGTATCTCTCTCCAACTAGTTTTGAGACTATTCAAACTAAGTCTCCAATGAATATTTGAGCACTTGCACTTTTCGAATTTGGCACTTTGTTTTCTATCTCTTGTCTATCTTCTTTTTGTATTCACCTCTATAGTTTCTTCAAGTCTTCATGGCCCTTTTATAGATAACCAAATATATCAGTTGGTGTGGGATAATTTGATATTTGAAATTTGAACCTTCATAGCCTGATATTGTTGACATCAGTAGATCTTCAATTTTGATTTGATTGTCAACTTGCCTGACAAAATAATATTTTATCTCAACTTGATTTTCAAGTTGTTTCTTAAAATATTATTTGTGTTGTCAATTTGAATATCTATCGAATCTTTTAAATAAATTTCTCTGGTAGAATTTATTTCTAGGATAAGTTTTATATTCATGTCTTCATAAATATTTTTTCCGTTCTGATCAATATCTTCAGGAAATTTTGGATTCTTGTGGCATGTGGGCTGATTCAAAATAAATTCCTTCGAATTTATTCATTTTCTGAACATCTTGCTTCTTTGCCACATTGTACTCCTTTGACTTAGGCACTTCTTCTTGTTTGACTTGAACATTGTGCTTTTCTGATTTGGTCACATTGTGCTTCTTTGGACACATCGTGCTTGTTCACATTGTGCTTCTTTCAGACATTGTGCTCCTTAGGCATCGTGCTCCTTTCAGAAATTGTGCTCCTTTAAGAAATTGTGCTTGTACACATCGTGCTCCTTAAGAACATTGTGCTCCTTGGGAACATTGTTCTTGTCTTAATTCTTGACTTGTAAAAAGTAATTCCTTGGGGGGAATTGATCTCAAGTATGATCATTTTAAGTATGGACTTCTACCATTTCATCCTTAGGTTCATTCGATCATTTGTTGTAATGCCATTCTTTTATGCTTCTTTCTCAGATGAATACTCGTAGGACCAAAATTAATTTCCCAAATTAATTTTGTTCTTCATATGGTAGATTTCCTTTGACTCGATATTCTAGTTTATGATGCTTGTACTAAAAGACCTAAAATCTACGGGGATCTATAGAACATTTGGCTTATCAAAACATACAAAAATATTCCTATCAATTTTCTCCATTTTTTATGACGCCAAAACCTATACTTAGTCATTTGGCTTGCCCACAAAAATTATTTTTCGAAAGATTTTATTAACTTTTGACATAGCCATGACGAGTTTAACATTTGATTTTGACTCTAGGAAGGTATTTTTAGCAACTAAGTTTCTATTCGCATTTTGGATTTTAATGATAATGAATTTTGCAATTTTTCCAATTTATGCGATTTGATACAATCTAAGCTAGAAATATTACCTTTCAAGACAAATAAAATAACAATAGATAACAATACTTAACAGCATCATAAACAGATAATCGAAACTATCATTGCAAATTGTTCAATGAATCATGAGTTTGTAGATCATCGAAAAATATTGTGACAATAATCATACAAATCACTTAATTATTCTGTTTCTTCTTTCTTCTAGCACATGATTTATATGATTCTTAACTTCAACGAAATTGTCACTAATGGCATAATTGTTGCATACCTGCCCAATCACGTAGTAGTTGAATGCTTCAATGATATTGTTCCCGGGCAGTATACCTTCTTCATACCATACGATGCATTCTTCTAGACTCCTGTCTCCTTGAAGCTCGGCATCATTGACTTTGATATAGTCTCTAAGCACCATGATCATCAAGGATCTTGCGTAGCTTTTGATCTTCCTAAAATTCTCATTCGAAACCCACAAGTTTTGGTCACTTGGACCACTTTTCTTCATTCCTTTTGGTAGGTTATTCAAGGTTGCCAATCTTGGCATTTCAACTCTACCATCCCTTGGTGTGGATTCCAAATAAAGAGCTGCTTTGTTGTACCAATTTATTTGTTCCTGATTTCCACCTGCACAAACAATTTCACAAAATGATCGGTGAGTGGTATTTGTACTGCTTGATCCACCTGGACTGCCAGCATCACCACCAAACTAGTATTCCATTCCTCCTCGTCTTGCAATGTTGCTTCTGCCAGCAGATCTGCCTCCTCCTCTACTACTGCTTGTACCAACATTTCTGGTAGCCATGGCAGTCATAATCATTTCCAGCATGCCTTCCAAATGACTGAATCTCTTGTCCCCCTTTTTGGCGTAATCAATCAGTGTATGTACCAATTCACGAAGAGATGAAACAGATTCAGAGATGTTTTCATATGAACCTCGAAGGTAGCCTACTTTGGTGTTGATGGAGATGAGATCTGTGTGGATATCACCAATTTGCTTCTCGTGTTGATGTACCACATTGAGAATTCCCTGACTTTGATTCACGGCAATTGCTTCATTGGCTTTTCAAGCATTTTTGAGGATTTGAGACAGTTGGATGTAGAACTCGTTGAGTTGTCCTTTGATATTTGTATTCAATCCGCCAACTTGTCTCTCAAGTGCTTGATGTGTATCAATCAAGTGTTGTTGACTCCTTCGGTTTTCATCAAATGAGGTTTCAAATTTTCCTCCTTTAGTATTGACAACATGATCCACATGAGTGTAGATACCTTGAATCATGCTCTCCATTCGGTCAACTAGGATTAGTACAACATTTTCCAGATTTTTCGATCTTGCATTTGTGGTTGTGCCATCAAGATTTTTCTCTTCTTGGGTTGCGGGAATACATGACATTTAAAACCTATAATAAAGGTAGAATCTTATTAAATCCCAAGATATAAATACAAGCGTTCGGGGTGCTATGCCACACCTGGGCTAGAAAACCCAAGTGCACATGCTAACTAACTAATATCCTCAAAGCGTAAATACGTAAACGTGGCACGCAGGCCAAAAGGGAAACTATCTACTTCTAAGTTCTAGCGCACTCCAGTGACTTAATCTTCTGTGCGTGAAAGCCAAATATATCTGTTCAGCGAGAGATGCTGGTAACCCACTCCAACGCGTTGAAATACAATACATATAGAGATATATATAGATATACGAAAACCATTTTGAGCATGAAGATATGTCCTACGAACT